TCGTTTCACTTTATAAAGGTTTTTCTTCTTTAAGTGGCTCGAGTTGTCATAAAGATGCAAAATAAAACATCCATGTAATTGGACCGTTTTACTGCGCCACGCTGAATAAATAATGACCTGTAATCAAAAATAAAAACATTGATCAAAACGGTTTCAAAGGTTTCTGAGCTTACGTATTGAATTCAGCTTTTTTTTAAAGCTTAACAAGTTTATTTTAGCTGTTGGGTGTGGGGGAAAAACAAAGTCACACTTCAGCAGTCAGATCTTACAACGGATGCCAACAGTTCACAGCTCAGTGAACTGCACCAAATAATGAGTTTTACTGTTAAATTTAATTAAACGTTAGTTTGAGCCCTGTTATTTTAAAATATTATATAATGTAAACTTTTATCTTTTCAGGTTGACACCATCTTTTGTTTTCTCAAAGTCAAAGCAAAAAGTTTTGGGTGTCAACTCGCTAATTTATTATTAAAACAGTCTCACTTTCCTGGCATAGCTATCGTTTCTTGGTTATTTTTTGCCTTAAAGTTCCCCTCCCCCCCCCTCCACAGTTGTTGTTTTTTTTAAGCCAACAAAGAAGAAAAAACATCTTCCTCTTCCTCTTTTTCATTTTCAGAATGTACATATTTTGCAAGCATTAACTTTCCACCCGCAGCTGTGACGAGTTGTGTTCGTTTGGGTGGATTAAGTGTAAAAATACACAGTAAAAGAGTCGCTTTACAAAAAGTATTCTGCCTTATTTCACCATGAAAATGTCTCTGTTCTAGTTAAATACAAAACGCCAAATATCTGTACTTAATGGTACTTATTTTCAGCGTTTATTGATCAAAACTCCAGCTTTTTGTTTCTGAAGGCTAAGATCTTTTTAAAGTAAAATATAGTTCAGTTTATTTGAGGCAGCTCTGTGAAAAGATGAACAATAAAAACGTTTATCTCTTGTAAAAACCTCAGTTTGGAAAAACTGAGTTTTATTCTTATCCGACAGCTAACGGCTAGTTTATTAGCGATGAAATAAAGCAGATTAAAACTGCTCCGATCTAACAAAAAATAGATACTTGTATAAAAGTTATTTTATAAACCTGTAAACTACCATCAAATTAGCTTTTTATGGTTATTTTACCAAGGTTTTATAGTTATTTACAAGTAGAAACAACTTTACTGCTAAAGCTAACTGTGGTAATTTAGAACAAAAAGAGGACCTTCTGGTAAAAAAGACATTTCTGTAAAAATAACTGTATTATGTGAACTCAAAGGCAGTGTTAAGGTTTATTAAATGTTTGCATGATTATGAAGTTTTTTGTTATTTTTTGTGGCAGATGTTAGCTTTGGGATTAGCCTCACTCAGATTAGCTGTTAGCTTCNACTTTATGGTTAAATGTTGTAAAACCTTTTGAGTTAAGAGATTAAAAATCATGAATTACAACATGAAATATCTGAAACAGCTTCATGCTTTGGTCACATTTCCCCCAAAAGGAAGTGACAGATGGAAACTTTAACCATTTTGGTGTGAAATTATATCTGCTTCCTTTTCCTCTTTCATGAAAATTCTCATTTGAATTTTAACTGAGTCTTTTTTTTAATCACCTTCATCAGTAACACCATTTTAATGCTTTAATTTAGCTTTTTCTGTCCCAAAAGTGACTTTAATTGGGGAAACGTGGCAAAACCTGAAGCCTAATGTGTGACTCTTTCATTGTCAGTAATTGCTGACATTTGTGTAACCTACAAAAGGACATTCCCTCTGTTACGAAAGACTGGCCTTAAGGAAAGAGTTAAAAATTACCAAACTACGAACAAATTCAAAGAAGAGTAAAAAAGTCCAGAGAGAAACGTCAGTAAGACAGAGAGCTTCAAGACAAACGAGTTATTAAAGACGACACACGCTTGACCTTAAAATGGAAACATCTCTGTTCTTTTTAAACAAATTAAAGTCCTTGAAGTTTCTGATTTATACACCTAACAGGTTAATTTTCAACGATCGCAGCCTTATTTAATATTTCATCTTGAGTAAATAACTCAAAGCAGCTTCCAGAAAATGTTTCATTTCACTTGCCTGTAAAAACAGAACAGTAATTCAGCTGATCTGTTCACAGGATGTCAGGCTGTCATGAATCCCTCACTCACTTCTTATAAATACAATTTACTGTGTATGTTCTGTATCTTCATTAGCATTTTGCTATTTTTAGCGCTTAGCTAACTTTTCCTATAAGTTTCTTGTAAGCCTGTTGCTATTTTTGCTCAATTCTTTCCAGTCTATTTTTGAATTTGGCTTATATTTAGCTTTTTGTTGCTTTTAGTCAGCATTTATTGAATTTTACCTTTGAGTTAGCCTTATTTCAGCTAACATTTTGCAGCTTTTAGCAACCAATTTGCTACTTCTACCTAATATATTTTTTGTACTTTTATGCTTTTGTTTTGGTATTTTCAACTTTTAGCTTGCCTTTTACCACTTCTAGCTTTTAGTTAGCATTTCATTATTTTTACTAGCATTTTGATACCTCTTAACTAACTTTGTAGTAAAAGCAAAAATTGCTAATTTTGTTTCTAGTTAACCTTTTGCTATTTTTCATTAGCATTTTGCTATTTTTAGCACTTAGCTAACTTTTCCTATAAGTTTCTTGTAAGCCTGTTGCTATTTTTGCTCAATTTATTCCAGTCTATTTTTGAATTTGGCTTCTATTTAGCTTTTTGTTGCTTTTAGTTAGCATTCATTGAATTTTACCTTTGAGTTAGCCTTATTTCAGCTAACATTTTGCAGCTTTTGGCAACCAATTTGCTACTTCTACCTAATATATATTTTTGTACTTTTATGTTTTTGTTTTGGTATTTTCAACTTTTAGCTTGTCTTTTACCACTTCTAGCTTTTAGTTAGCATTTTACTGTTTTTACTAGCATTTTGATACCTCTTAGCTAACTTTGTAGTAAAAGCAAAAATTGCTAGTTTTGTTTCTAGTTAGCCTTTTGCTACTTTTTGCAAGCATTTTAATATTTTTTAATTTTTTGATTGCTTTTTGTTAACTACCTTTAAGCTACCTTTAGCTTTCAGCTAACCTTTTGCAACATTTGCTTTTAACAAGCCTATTTCTAATTTTATCTTCTAGTTAGCATTTAGCTTCTTTTAGTTAATGTTTTGATAATTATAGCTTTGAGCTCGTCTTTTGCTAGTCTTGTTTTTAGCTAGTATTTTGTTACTTTAAGTACTGATTGCTACATTTGGAAAACTTGTTTTTACTCAGCTCTGTTTTTAGCTTTAATAACTCAGCTTCAGGTAACTTCGGCTATTTAGTGCCGAGTTAATTTTCTATTTTAGCAGATTATGACATCTTATTAAACAACTTCTTGTTTTCTTAGTGTGAAAGTTGATGTGAAAAATGCCAAGTTTGCATTTTTGAACTGCGGGACCACAAAGGCCACATTAATGGGAAAGTAAAACAAAAAGGAGTTTTTGTTCTGAGTCAGGAAGAAATCTAAAAGGATCAACGCTGGAAATGACTCATCAGAACTGGAGTTCCTTCTGGTACTTTGGTTCATCTGGGACTAAGATCTGAGCCGGGTCCTATGCAGGTCTTTGTGAGTCCTTTTTTTTTTGTCCTCTGTGTTCAGATCACCTTGGACCACTCCGGTATTTCCATGAGTAATTATTAATTTAAATCTTCAGCCTCTTCGGCTCGGTGAAAGAGGAAATGCTTTCAACCTGCAGGTTTGAATAATAAGAGCAACAAAAAAACGAAGCTTCGTTAACATTTGGTGCTTTCAATCCGTCCTGCTGACACCAGCAGCCACTGAGACGGGACGCCCTGGACATGTCTCCAGTCCACCAAAGAGACACAGAGAGACAAACAAGCATTCACACTCTCACCGACAGACAAATTAGAGCAAATAACCTGTTTTTAGTCTGTGGGGAGCAGTGGTGGGCACAGCTAACAAAATGTTAGCTTTGCTAACTAATAATCATTAAAAATAGCTTCACTTACTCATGATCTGCTAACTAAAGATATAACTTTGCTAACGCTGAACATGTAAAAAAGTTAACAATAGCTAACACTAAACAAGTGAATATTAGTAGAAGCTAACACCAAAATCTAATTGCTAACTACTAAGACGACTTAAGTCTGCGACACGTCTTTGTCTCCTTCAAGCTAAAGACTAATAGGGATGACAAAAACCTGTTAGCTTGTTAGTTAGCTGTTAGCAAACAGCAGAAGCTAATTGGTCCACCAACAATTTTTCAAAGTTGCTGAAAAAGTTAATCCTCTAAAAAATTTGGTGCACTATTAGCTGATTATTAAATAGCATAGCTAATCAAAAAGTTAACTTTGCTAAATAAGAATCCACTAAAAAAAATAGCTTCACTTATTTGTGATCTGCTAACTAAAGATAAGATATAGCTTAACTAATGCTAAACCCTAAACATTTTTTGAAAGTTAACTATAGCTATCGCTAAACAAGTAAAGATTAGCAGAAGCTAACACTAAAAGCTTATCGCTAACTGCTAAGATGACTTGACTCAATCTGCGGAATGTCTTTGTCTCCTTCAAGATAAAAACTGATGGGGATGACACAAATCTGTCGATGTTAGCTTGCTAGTTAGCTGTTAGCAAACATAGCACAAGCTAAATAGTACACTAACAAAAAAAACATTGAGGGCGTTGAACCCCCACTTGCATTCACTACATACACATAACACGACACGGGTCAGATGATGGGCACATGACCCTCTATGAACAATAGAGCTAATCAAGCCTATTGTTAGGTGATGGCCCTCTTTTGCATGTGACTAACCTGTTTGTCCAGGTGGAGGCAGTGCTTATAAAGCTGAGTTCACCTGAAACTCATCAGACTGAAGAAGTCTCTTGGACAAGAGACGATACGTTTCACTAAAGAAGAACCCATCCAGAGGACCTACTGATTTTTTTCTTTTTGGTACACTAACAATTTTTTGAAGCTGCTGAAAATGCTAATCCACAAAAAATATAGTTTTAAAGATATAGCTGTACTAATGCTAAACCTGTTAAAAAAGTTAACAATAGCTATCTCTAAACCAATAAAMATTAGCAGAAGCTAACCATAATAGCTAATTGCTAACCGCTACGATGACTTGATTAAGTCTGCGATATGTTTTTGTCTCCTTCGAGCTAAAGACTGATAGAGATGACACAAACCTGTTGAWGTTAGCTCGTTAGTTAGCGGTTAGCAAACTTAGCACAAGCTAAATAGTACACTAACAAAAAAAAAACAAGGGGACGTTGAACCTCCACTTGRACTCACTACATACACATTGATGTTAGCTCGTTAGTTAGCGGTTAGCAAACTTAGCAGAAGCTAACTGGTCCACTAACAGCTCRTCAAAGTTGCGGAAAAAGCTAATCCGCTAAATGAAAATTTAATTCCACCGTTAGCTGTTTAGCTGAGCGACGTTGAGCAGTGGTGAGGGAACCAGAGGCCCACGAGCTAAGAGGGGAACCTGCGGCCTTCTCAGTCCGAGGCGACATCCCCACCCACTGTACCACCGTTCAGTTCATTCTGTCTGGTTTTTAAATCCCTCATGTTAAATCTCTCTCTCTCTGTCTTCGTCGCTGTCTGCAGGTTTTTCAGAGCAACTTTGTTTTTAATCCCGGCTCTTGATTAAAGATTACATCGGAGAGCTTTCTGTTTCTGCATTAAAGCCCCTGAGGGTGGGGTGGAGGTTTGTGGGGTGGAGTGGGGACGGAGCCGCCCATGCCTGCTGCTGCTGCTGCTGAGAGCTGCAGCTTTCTGTCAAACTTTCATTTGAATACCTGTTCGAGCTGCCGGCACGTCATGCAAATGTGCCTCTGGCATCTGTGGACCCATTCAGCCCTTCTTCCCTGGACCTGGACTTGAACCCGGGGATCTGTCCTCTGAGGAGAACCAGCTCTAAAACCTTTAACTGTTACTTCTTTCTGAACCTGCCGCATAAGAAGTGAAAAAAAAATAAATTAAATAAAACAGGAGCAGCTGTGGCAGCATCTGCGAGTGAAACCAGGAGCTCGGCTGACGTGTGCTTGTTCCTCTTTACGCCACTTCAGATCAGACAGCTCGAACTTCCTCCTTTGAGTCCAGTGCCTCGTCCTTCCACCGCCCCATCAACATCTGCAGCCTGACCCTCGGAGGGTTAGGAAGGGATGGACGCCCCCGCCYAGCAATGAGGACCCAGCTTCCCGCAGTCATCTGAGCCCAGAAGACCATCCAGGACCACGACACACGACCTGCTTCTCCAAGCGACAGACGAAAAGGCGGTAAGGACCTGCTTCTGGTTGTTGGTGAGGGTAAGAGGAAGCCAGGCTTGTGAGGAAGAGCCTTAAAATTTAAAACCAAGCAACAGAAAAAGCTGTTTTAAAGGTTTAAAATTGGTGTTTTAAAGAGAATGAGAGTTCAGAAAAAAGAGGAAGTTAGAGGTCTGAGTCGACCCTTCAAAATAAAAGGAAAAGTCTTTTAAACTCATATTTCTTTAATGGGAAGTTTCAGTTTTTTTCACTTTTAAGTTAATGTTATAGTGTGTGTGTGTGTGTGTGTGTGTGTGTGTGTGTGTGTGTGTGTG